GGGACTCTGCTGCCCGCCAGGGGGCACTTCTGTGAAAGTTGCGGCATCTGCTTCCAGGCTCACTGAGTGCTCCTGGCAGGCCCTCCCACCGCGGGCTCTCCCCAGGGTGCCGAGCATCCTTAGGCACGGCTGGTAACTTTTCCCAGAGCAATCAGAAGGAGGGGGGATGAAGTGGGGAGAGAGAGAGAGAGAGAGAGAGAGAGAGAGAGAGAGCGCGCCCGCTGTGGTACCTTTTATGATATGATAATGAAAGTGACATATCAGTTCTGCCATGCTTTATTGGTCTTACGGACTAACCCTTGTGGAGGGACTACACAGGCATGAAAATACCAGGAGGGCCCAGCCAGCATGGCTCAGTGGTTGCGTGTCAACCTATGAACCAGGAGGTTATGGTTCAATTCCTTGATGTTCTCTCTCTCTTCCTCTCCCCTCCTCTCTGTAAAAGGATATTTAAATTAAAAAACACACACTAGGCCAAGACCGGTTTGGCTCAGTGGATAGAGCGTCAGCCTGCGGACTGAAAGGTCCCAGGTTCGATTCCGGTCAAGGGCATGTACCTTGGTTGCGGGCACATCCCCAGTAGGGGGTATGCAAGAGGCAGCTGGTCGATGTTTCTCTCTCATTGACGTTTCTAACTCTCTATCCCTCTCAATTCCTCTCTGTGTAAAAAATCAATAAAATATATATTAAAAAAAACACAAAAACTCACATTAGAATACTATTCAAAATCAGTAATTTCCTTTTTATGGCTGATATATATCTATCACAGTTTATTTTCACCACATGCACGTAAGGTGCGGTGATGGAGGCATTGATCTTATTGTGCAGTCATTTTAGAGTATATGGGCATATCAGATCACGTGGTGTGTAGTAAACTTACACTGGGTTACATGTCATACCTCAGTGAGGCTGGGAAAAACAAAAACAGTAAAATAACATCAATAATAATGTTTCTGTTTGTGTGTATGTGTGTGTGCATGTGTGCATTATCAGTACGTCCACTCTACATTTCATGAAGAATAAGAAAAGACGTAGAAATGAACAGTGTAAGAACTGGAAAAGAAGAAACAGTACTGTATAATGTGTGCAGAGAATATCCAAAGCAAACTAAAGGTAAATTATTAGAAACAATGAGAGCTTAACAAGATTACTGGATTTAAGATCAGTATATACAAGTCTATTGCTTTTCCCTATAGCAGCAAAAATTGGAAACCATACAGAAGACATTGCATTTAAAATAGGAATAAAAATTATAAGGGACCTAGGAACAAATAGAAGATGTCTAAAGCCATATGAAATCATTAATAAAAGTTTATTAAGGGACCTAACCAAATGAAAAGATTTATTGACAGGAGACTCAAGGTCAGATAGGGGACTCCAGGAGAGTGAAAGGTCATCTTCTCCAAGTTGTTCTCCAGACTTGTGGCCATTCCAGTGGAAACCCCAGCAGTGAGAGGTGAGTGTGCCCCACTGACTCTAACATGCAGAGAGTAAAAGGTCAGAATGGGAAGACGGTCCCGGAGAAAGAGGTGGAAGAGAAGAGGAGAAGAGAGGGGAGGCGCCTGTGAGGCGTGAACGTGGGCACGGGCAGTGCGGTGTGGGTGCCTGCCCAGGAGTCCAAGGGGAGCCCCGAACCCACACCTGCGCAGGCAGCAGCTGCTTGGCCAGGTGCATGGAGGGTCCTGAGGGGGGGGGGGCACAGTGGTGGCATTAAGCCCCCACTCACACAGACACCAGTTCTGAGTGGAATAAAGAAGTGAATGCAAAAGACAAAGCTCTACAACTTTGAGAAGAAAGTCCTGACTCCGGGTGACAAAGAACACGTTAAAAAGACACACAAATCCCTGCATTTAATTGCATTAGAATGACGAAATTCTGTTCGTGTGCAAGATAATTTTATAAAACGAAAAGACCAGCCTCTAATTGGGAGGGATAGTTGTGATACCAAGTGACAACGATTTAGAATTCAAAATAAGAAATGAATAATGTATAAACTTATTTGAAAACAGAGCAAAAGACATGAGGAAGAATCAGGAATCGCAAACTCAGAAAGAAGCCCAGTTCTACATCTAAAATAAAATCAGTAGCATATTTTATACCTCTAGGTTGGTAGAAATTAAGCAGTCTAACCATGTCAAGCATTGAGAGCTAAGTAGAGTAATAACAGCATGCAGCTGGTGGATATTCCAGTGGAGATGATTACAGAGGAAAACAATTGAAGTTATTTTGGAAAGCTGATGGTCTGCATAATGTGCCACCCAACGACTTCACTCTGGGCCTGTCTCTAGAACACCCTTTTTCAAACTGCTGAGGGCAGCCATTAGTGAACCGGCCATCCTACATGATAAAAGGGTAACATGCAAGTTGACCAAACAGTGGGAACCACTGGTTGCTATGACATGCACTGACCACCAGGGGGAAGACGCTTAATGCAGGAGCTGCCCCTGGTGGTCAGTGTGCTCCCACAGGGGGAGTGCGGCGGCGGCGGTGGTGGTGGAAGCCTCTCGCTTCAGCGGCAGTGCTAAGGCTGTCAGACTGCGGCTTAGGATGTCAGCAGGACATCGCCCGAGGGCTCCCGGACTGCTAAAGGGTGCAGGCCGGCTGAGGGGACCCCCTCCCCAAGTGCACGAATGTCGTGCACCGGGCCTCTGGTTTAAAACAAAAAGTAGAGTAGGAAATGTCAGAGGACATCATTCATTTTAAGGTTGTGTATCATGTGGTGACACCGTTCTGGCCTTGACGATTATGCATTTACCCTGGGCTGCCGTGTGGAAAGCATTGCTTGTGAAAGTTGTGTCAGTGGTGTGAAAGCCAGGGCGTTGGAACGAGCTCTCACGTGTGTGTGCTGGGGTTGCACAGAAAGGCTCATAGCTGTATTATCTATAAGCGCGCACGCCGGGGGCGGTGTCGGGAGATGATTTACTGGCATAATGGACGGGATGTTGCACAGCATTGAAATGAGTGGACTGTGCTTACAGGGAATAATATGGACAAATCTTAGAAACATAATATTGAACAGAAAGCTGGGCCGGTGTGGCTCAGTGGTTGAGCATCAATCTGTGAAACAGGAGGTCACTGTTAATTCCTGGTCAGGTTACATGCCTGGGTTGTGGGCTTGATCCCTGGTGTGGGGTGTGCAGGAGGCAGCCAATCAATGACTCTCTCTCATCATTGATGTTTCCATCTCTCCCTCTCCCTTCCTCTCTGGAAAAAAAAATTATAATAAAAATACTGGACAGAAAAAGCCAGATCAGGAGACTGAAAAACACACACTAAGATATGTAATTATAAAGCTCAAAAAAGCTCCACTAAACTATGTGATTTGGATAGATTTTCTTTTTTTATATAATATATTTTATTGATTTTTTACAGAGAGGAAGGGAGAGAGATAGAGAGCTAGAAACATCAATGAGAGAGAAACATCGACCAGCTGCCTTGCCTCCTGCACCCCCCCCCCCACCAGGGATGTGCCCACAACCAATGTACATGCCCTTGACCGGAATCGAACCTGGGACCTTTCAGTCCGCAGACCAACGCTCTACCACTGAGCCAAATCGGTTTCGGCTATTTGGATATATTTTCAAAAGAAAAGCAGGATGAATACTCATCCATATGGTGAAGGAATGACATGCTGACACATGCTACAACATGGAAGAAACCTGAAAACACGCTAAGGGAAAGAAATCCAATGTGAAAAGCCACATATTTATGATTTTTTAAAATATGAAATGTCCAGAGTAGACAAGGCCACAGAGAGAGTGGATGAGTGATTGTTGGGGGAAGGGAGGATGGGAGTGACTGACCGTGGGAACAGGTTTCTTGAGGGGCTGATGAGAATGTTCTGGAATTGATGATATGCTCGTACAGTTTTGTGAATATTCTAAAAGCCATTGAGTTATACCCTCTCAAATGGTGAGCTTCATGGCTGTGATTTCTTAATGAAAGTTCTTTCTGAAGAGGAGCAGTGGGATCATTAAAAACACACAAGTTCAGGGTCCTGTTTCCCTCGGGGCGGGCGGGCGGGCGGGCGGACAGGGCAGGAAGGAGGGACAGTGAGGAACCTGCAGCAATATCTGAAGTTCTAGTCTGTGGGTGTTTATCTCATTACTGTGTTTAGTGTGTGTGTTATGTATTTTTAGTGCGTTTAAAATTTAAAAGAAACTCGGTTATTAAATGAGTACCATTAGAAGCAAAAGTGCCTTTTGAAGCGTCTCCTTAGAGGTGTGCCTGTGTGGTGGGTGCAGTCTGACCTCTGGTGGCCGAGAGCGGAAGGGCGCCGGGCCGCTGGCGTGGGCCCGGGGAGGTGCGAGGGCGGGATCCCTGGGCACAGCCTGGTCCTGACCCCGGGCGGACGTCCAGGAGGTTCGGCCACTGCCAGCCGCACCCCCGGAGAAGAGCAGACAGCTTTGCTTCCCTGGCTCTGGTTTCCCCTTTTCCTCCGGCTTCTCACCACCCCCTTAGCCAGGAGTGAGGTGTGTAACCCTGGCAGCTGCTGGGGGAGGGGACAGGCGGGCCTGTCCTGCACCATCCAGGGCCGTCGGAGGTGGTGCCCGGAGCATGGTCTCTGCGTCTCCAGGTGGTGGGGAGGGTCGCTTGGCACCATTGCCCAGAGCCGTCTCCACCCCTCTCTGTAGTACTGCCCTGAGGCCCGTGGGCCCGGAGGGTGAGAGTGAGGGTGATCTGGGAGCGCCTGCGTTTCAGGGCTGCCACCACCACGGGGTCCCTGCAGCGTCTCACCTTGCAGGAGGCAGGACGGGCAGCAGTGGGCCAGGCTGTGGGGAGCAGGCGGAGTCCCAGGCCTAAGCCAGAGCTGCCCCAGCGGTGCTGAGAGGGGTCACCGCATGGCTGGGGAGAGCACCATGGGGAGCCGTGTCCGTGCTTCTGCTCGGGCCTGCACTCCGCCATGGGGGAGGGGAGGGCGCTTGGAACAGTGGGGTTCACTGGGCCCCGTCGGGCTGGGGTCTTTTGCCCAGGACATTGCTTCTCCTCCCTCTTCCCAGACGCCATGGAGGTGCTGCTCATCTTGCTGTGCGGCCTGCTGGCCCCCGCCATCCTGGCCAGTGGTGAGTACGCACCGGCGCCGTGGCCTGCCCCGGCGGGAGGTCCTGGCCTGGGGCTCTCAGGGTCTCCATGCTGGTCAGCCCTGCCCCCTCAGCAGCAGAGAGTCTGGGAGGCAGCGATCCCTGGCCCTCCTCTAGCTGCCCCTCCCAGGCTGCTGCAGGCTCTGCCTTGGGCCTCGGGTCCAGCAGCCCCTGGGGGTGTTTGGCCGGCACATCGGAGTCTTCAGCCTCTGGCCTGTGCCCGTCCGTGTTTGCCCTGGGCCTCAGCTTCCTCATCTGTGGGAGGAGGGATGGCGTGAGCATAAAGAGGGACTGTGACCACTGTGCTGTGAGCACTTCTCCCCGGGGCTCCCCAGTGCTGCCGGCCGGCAGCCTGCCTCTTCCCAGCCCTCTGCTGCAGGCCCCTCTGCTGCAGCCCCGCTTCCCAGCCCTCTGCTGCAGCCCCGCTTCCCGCCCTCTGCTGCAGGTCCCTCTTCCCGGCCCTCTGCTGCAGGCCCCTCTTCCCAGCCCTCTGCTGCAGGCCTGCTTCCCGGCCCTCTGCTGCAGGTCCCTCTTCCCGGCCCTCTGCTGCAGGTCCCTCTTCCCGGCCCTCTGCTGCAGGCCCGCTTCCCGGCCCTCTGCTGCAGGCCCGCTTCCCGGCCCTCTGCTGCAGGCCCCTCTGCTGCAGCCTGCTTCCCGGCCCTCTGCTGCAGGCCCCTCTTCCCGGCCCTCTGCTGCAGGCCCCTCTTCCCGGCCCTCTGCTGCAGGCCCCTCTTCCCGGCCCTCTGCTGCAGGCCCCTCTGCTGCAGCCTGCTTCCCGGCCCTCTGCCGCAGGTCCCTCTTCCCGGCCCTCTGCCTCAGGCCCCGCTTCCCGGCCCTCTGCTGCAGGCCCGCTTCCCCGGCCCTCTGCCGCAGGTCCCTCTTCCCGGCCTCTGCTGCAGGCCCGCTTCCCAGCCCTCTGCTGCAGCCCCGCTTCCCGGCCCTCTGCTGCAGGCCTGCTTTCCGCCCTCTGCTGCAGGCCCGCTTCCCAGCCCTCTGCTGCAGGCCTGCTTCCCAGCCCTCTGCCTCAGGCCCGCTTCCCGCCCTCTGCTGCAGGCCCGCTTCCCGCCCTCTGCTGCAGGCCTGCTTCCCGGCCCTCTGCTGCAGGCCCGCTTCCCGGCCCTCTGCCGCAGGTGCCTCTTCCCGGCCTCTGCTGCAGGCCCGCTTCCCGGCCCTCTGCTGCAGCCCCGCTTCCCGGCCCTCTGCTGCAGGCCCGCTTCCCGGCCCTCTGCTGCAGGCCCGCTTCCCGGCCCTCTGCTGCAGGTCCGCTTCCCGGCCCTCTGCTGCAGGCCCCTCTGCTGCAGGCCCGCTTCCCGGCCCTGTGCTGCAGGCCCGCATCCCCGGGCCCTCTGCAGGAGGGCGGCCTGCAGGCCGGCTGTCCTGGGAGACAGGACGCGGAGCTGTCTCCTCTGACCAGGCTTGTTTACTTTTGCAGCCGAAGAACAGGAGAAGGAAAAGGACCCTTTTCATTATGGTGAGTGGCGAGGACATCCTGGGGGACAGAGAGGGGGAGGCACAGCCCACCTGGTGAGGGACGGGCAGTGCTCCCTGGCCCTTCCTCTTCTCCCATTTCTCCCTTTCCTCCGGCAGATTACCAGACCCTGCGGATCGGGGGCTTGGTGTTTGCCGTGGTCTTTTTCTCCGTCGGCATCCTCCTCATCCTGAGTAAGTTTCTGTTCACCAGGAAGAGCAGGTCTCTGCTCAGCGGTGGGGGGAGAGAGCAGATGGGAGCCTGGTTGGCCCCTCCCTGCAGAGGCAGGAGCCTGTTTGTTCTCCCTGTATCTCTGGGACCTACTATGTGCTGGCACATAATAGGTGCTCAGGAAAATAGGAAAGCAGGTAAAAATAAATGCTCCATGAAAATAAGCACAGATGAGAAAAAGGAGCAGGTGGCCCTGGTGCTGTGCCCAGCAGGGTGTGAGTGGGGCGTCTCAGGCCGTAGGACACAGCCTGTCCTGTCCGAGGGCACCCTGAGGGATATGTCCCGGGGCAAAGAAACCTGGTCTGCAGGGAGCCCCCTGCACTCGCACCACCAGCAGCCCTGGGGGCGGGGGGGGGGGGGGGGTGCCTCTGAGCTGTTGCTGATCCTGGGCCTTGGAAGAGCCCTCCTCCAGCCTGGGCCGCGCCGGCCCCCCAGCCTCACCGCCAGGGAAGCTGTGGCCCAGCAGGAGCGTGACCTTCACTCAGGCCGGAGGATGACCTCCGGTGGTTTCTTCCCGTTCAGGTCGCAGATGCAAGTGCAGTTTCAGCCAGAAGCCCAGGTGAGGACGCCCCGGCTGTGGACATCGGGTAGCAGGGCGGGGAGCGGCCCCCAGTGTGCCCCCCACATGAGTGTGCTTAGATTCTCACCTCAGAGCCTGGGAACCAGGCCGAGTGCCTGGCGGGTGGGCAGAGACGTGGAGGGCTGCCAGGCGGACTCGACAGTCAGCTCCTTCTCCACCCGATGAGCACGGAGTGGAGCGGGCAGGAGGGTGCTGGCG